CACTCCAGGGCATTATAGCTACCATCATAACCCAAGAAAGTAGATTCGGGAATTAGATGTGGAGAAATAGAAGAAGTACATGTGAACTCCAACCACTCATCAAAAACTCCATTTGGTAGGCGTCCAAGTAAAGGTTGTCCCGTCGAATCCTCAGCCTGATCCAATGATTGTTGGTTTGCAGTATGATGTTGAACCATCGAGTGGGTGGATTCTGCTAAGCGGAAAGTATGAGAATATTGTCTGAGAAGGTCTCCCAATTCAACATGCAAGTCCTCAATGAAGTTCCTGTACGCTCCACTACCCCTTTCAACGTTAAACTCCTTTGTGAATTACGTCATTAACTGAATTCAATTCTGACATTGACATTAATAATCAGTCAACAGAAAAACATAAAAATAATAACTCAATGGAGTGCTTGTAATTATCCTTTTACACGTTGAATTCTGCCATTAACCCAATTGAATTCTACCATCGACAATAATAATAAATCAGTAGCTAAAATAATAATAAATCAATAGTTAAAATAATAATAATTACATACTATTAATAAATAATTTTTATTTTTCTCATATCAGGCATTATTGTCAAATCTTCAATCGAATCGTGAATCATTTTACTAAAATAATGAATCGTGAATCATATGATTCACTTTATTTAACATTAGCGGTCCGGCACAAATAAAGTGAATTATACGATTCACGATTCATTATTTTAGCAAAAAATTCACGATTCGATTCAAGATTTGATAATAATGCCTGAGATAAGAAAAATGAAAATTATTTACTAATATTATTTCATTATTATTATTTTAACTTTTAATTATTATTATTTTAGCTATTGATTTATTATTATTGTCAATAGCATAATTCAATTGAGTTAATGACGGAATTCAACGTTGAAAAGGATAATTACAAGCACTTCATTGAATTATTATTTGTATGTTTTTCTATTAATTGATTATTATTGTCAATGGCAAAATTGAATTCAATTAATGGCGGAATTCACAAACGAGTTCAACGTTGAAAGGGGTAGTGGAGCTTATATGGACTTCATTGAAGACTTGTGCGTTGAATTGGGAGAGACCTTTTCACATAATATTCACGTATTTCCCGCTCAGCAGAATCCACCCACTCGATGGTTCAACATTATACTGCAAACCAACAATCATTGGATTAGACTGAGGATTCGACGGGACAACCTCTACTTGGGCGTCTACCAATTGCATAATTATGAGGAGTGATTGGAGTTTGGGCGTACTACTCCTACTCCTCCACATCTAATTCTCGGATCCATTTTCTTAGGTTACGAAGGCGGCTACAATGCTCTGGAATGTCTTTTCAGACAAGGTATGAATAACATAGCCCTAGGCTCGCCCGCGCTCACTAATGTTGTAGATGAACTGGCTACCTCCACGATCTCTTACGCATATCGCATGAGGTCACTAATCATCGTGATTCAAATGATCTGCGAATCGATTACATTCACTCGTATCTCGGACCTTTTCGCTGCCACATTCAGAAGCATCAGTTCTTCGTTGACCCTTGATTGAATGCTGGCAATAGTGCATGGCTGGGGAGACCTCTTTGCCGCATTGCTGCGAGCTGATGCTGATCCCAATAAGTTCATCTGACTTCCGTAAACCGCTGATATGAATATTGTGTCCGCTCTGGACGCGGTTGTCATACTTGGTATCTTGCTCAGAAGCGTCTGTACATCATCATCAAACCCTAAATCCTAAACCCTTAATGTTTAGTATTTAGGGTTAGGGGGTTAGGGGTTAAATGTTGGGGTTAGGGTTTTAGGGGTTCAGTTTCGAGTTTTAGGGTTTTAGGGTTTAGGGTTTAGGGTTTGGAGTTTAAGGGTTAGGGGTTTGGGTGTTGGGGTTTAGGTGTTCAGTTTAGGGCTAGGGGTTGGGGGTTGGGAGGTTGGGTGGTAGGGATTGGGGTTTGGGGTTTAGGATTTAGGATTGACGGTCTAGGGTCAGGGGTTGGGGTTTAGGGTTTAGGGTTTAGGGTTTAGGGTTTGGCGGTTTGGCAGTTGGGATTGGGGGTTTGAAGGTTTAGGGTTAGAGGGTTAGGGGGTTAGGGTTTAAAGTTTAGGGTTTAAGGTAGGTTTAGGGGGTTAGGGTAGGGTTTATGGTTTATGGTCTAGGGTTTGGGGTTAGGTTTTGGAGTTTGGAGTTTAGGATTTTGGGTTTAGGGTTTAGGGTTTTGGGGTTTAGGGTTTAGCTTTAAGGGTTTGGGGATTTAGGGTTTAGGGTTTGAGATTTGGGGTTTAGTGTTTTCGAATTTTTGGGTTTTGGGATTTGGGATTTGGGTTTAGGGCTTGGGATTTGGGGTTTGGTGTTTTGGGGTTTTGGGTTTTGGATTTTTTAAGATTTAGAGTTTAGGATTTAGGGTTTATGATTTGGGGTTAGGAATTAGAGGTTAGGCTGTAAGGTTTAGGGTTAGGGGTTGGAGGTTGGGGGTTAGGGGTTAGGGCAGGGTTTATGGTTTAGTGATTGGGGTTGGGATTGGGGTTGGGGTTAGGGGTTACAGTTTTATGGTTGGGGGTTTGGGGTTTCGGGGTTTCGGTGTTCGGGGTTTAGCTTTTAGGGATTGGGGGTTTAGGGTTTAGGGCTTGGCATTTGGGGTTTGAGGTTGGGGGTTTGGGGTTTTGCATTTTGGGTTGAGGGTTTAGGATTTTTTAGGGTTTAGAATTTGGGATTTAGGTTAGTGGTTAGGGTTTAGGTATTAGGGTTAGGGGTTTAAGGGTTAAGGGTTAGGGTTTTAGGGGTTTGGGTTTCGAGTTTTAGGTTTGGGTTTGGGATTGGGGTTTGAGGTTTAGGTTTTGGGGTTTTGGGTTTGGGGGTTAGAGGGTTTTTAGGGGGTTAGAGGGTTTTTAGGGGGTTCGCTATTTAGGGTTTGAGGTTTGGGATTGGGGTTTGGGGGTTGAGGCCTGGGGTCTAGGGTCTATTAGGATCTGGGGTCTATTTGAGTTTCGAGTCTAGGAACTATTAGGGTTTAGGGTCTACGGTCTATTAGGGTTTAGGGTAAGCCTAGGGTCTATTAGGATTTAAGGTCTAAGGTCTAGGGTCTAGGGTCGGCGGTCTAGGTTCAACGGTCCACGGTCGGGGGTCAGGGGTTTTGGATCAAGGGTTTAGGATTTAGGCTTAGGGGTGAGGAGTCAAGGGGTGGGGGTTGGGGTTAGAGTTGGTGTTTGGGATTTAAGGTATCAGAACCCTTAAAACCCAAAACCAAAACCCCAAACCATAAATCATAAAACCTAAACCTCAAACTCAAACCCTAAATTCTAAATCCCAAACCCCCTAAAAGCACTAAATCCCTTAAAAATCCTAAATCCTAATTCGTTAAGAATCCTAAACCCCATAAAAACATAAAACCCAAAACCCTAAACGTTCAACCTAAAACCCTAACCCTTGACCCTCAACCCCAACACCCAAACCCCTAAAACCCTAAACTAAACCCCTAAACCCTAAACCCCTAACCCCGAAACCCTAAACTCTAAACCCTTAGGGTTCATGGTTCGATAATTATGATGCGAAGACGCTCCTAAACCAGATGTCAAGTATGGCAACCACGTCCAGACCAGACCCAATAGTCATATTATTAGGTTGCGGAAGTCAGAAGAAATTATTGGGATCAGCATCAGCTCGCAGGAATACGACAAAGTAGTCTCTCCAGCCACGCACTAGTACAAGCATCCAATCAGGGGGTGGCAAAGGAATGCGACAAAGTGGTCTCTCTAGCCACGCACTAGTACCAGCATCCAATCAGGGGGTGACAAAGAACTGCTGCTGCTGAATGTAACAGCGAGAAGATCTGAGATACGAGTGAATCTAATCGATACGCAAATCATTTGAATTACGATGATCAGCGACCTCGCGCGATCTGCGAAGGAGATCATGGAGGTAGCCAGATCATTTACGACATTAGTGAGTGCGGTTGGGCCAAGGGATATGTTATTCATACCTTATCCAGAAACACGTTCAAGGGTATTGTAGCCGCCAACGTAATCCAAGAAAGTGGATCTGAGAATTAGATGCGGAGAAGTAGGAGAAGTACACTCGAACTCCAACCACTCCTCAAAAACTCCATTTGGTAGGCAACCAAGTAGAGGTTAGCCCGTCGAATCCTCAGCTTGATCCAATGATTGTTGGTTCACAATATGATGTTATACCATCGAGTGGGTGGAGTCTGCTGAGCGGAAAGAATGAGAATATTGTGTGAAAAGGCCTCTCCTAATTCAACGCGCAAGTCCTCAATGAAATCTCTGTACAATCCACTACCCCTTTCAAAATTGAACTCATTTGTGAATTACGCCATTAACTGAATTCAATTCTGCCATTGATATTAATAATCAATCAATAGAAAAACATAAAAATAATAACTCAGTAGAGTGCTTGTAATTATCCTTTTCAACATTGAATTCCGCCATTAACTCAATTGAATTCTGTCATTGACAATAATAATAAATCAATATCTAAAATAATAATAAATCAATAACTAAAATTATAATAATTAAAAACCAAAATAATAATAATTAAATACTATTAATAAATAATTTTCATTTTCCTCATCTCACGCATTATTGTCAAATCTTGAATCAAATTGTAAATCATTTTGCTAAAATAATGAATAGTAAATCGTATGATTCACTTTATTTAACATTAGCGATCGAGTGCAAATAAAGTGTATCATACAATTCACGATTCATTATTTTAGGAAAACGATTCACAATTCGATTCAAAATTTGACAATAATACCTGAGATGAAAAAAATGAAAATTAGTTGTTAATATTATTTAATTATTATTATTTTAGCTTTTAATTATTATTATTTTAGCTATTGATTTATTATTATTGTCAATGACAGAATTAATTGAGTTAATGGCGGAATTTAACGTTGAAAAGGATAATTACAAACACTTCATTGAGTTATTATTTTTATGTTTTTCTATTGATTGATTATTATTGTCAATCGTAGAATTGAATCCAGTTAATGGCGGAATTTACAAAGGAGTTCAACATTGAAAGGGGTAGTGGAGCTTACAGGGACTTCATTGATGACTTGCGCGTTGAATTGGGAGAGACCTTTTCACACAATATTCCCCTACTTCCCGTTCAGCAGAATTCACCCACTCGATGGTTCAACATCATACTGCGAACCAACAATCATTGCATCAAGCTGAGGATTCGACGGGATAGCCTATAGTTGGATGCCTACCAATTGGATAATTCTGCAGAGTGGTTGGAATTCAAGTGTACTTTTCCTACTTCGCCCCATCTAATTCCCAGATCCAGTTTCTTGGGTTACGATGTCGGCTACAATGCCCTAAAACGTGTTTCCGGACAAGGTATGAATAACATAGCCCTTGACCTGACCGCACTCAATAATGCCGTAAATGATCTGGCTACCCCCACGATTTCCTACGCAGATCGCACGAGGTCACTGATCATCGTGATTCAAATGATCTGCAAATCGATTACATTCACTCGTATCTCTGACCTTCTCGCTGCCACATTTAACAATAGTAGTTCTTCGCCACCCCCTGATTGGATGCTGGCACTAGTACGTAACTGGGGAGACCTCTTTGCCGCATTGCTGCAAGCCGATGCTGATTCCAATAATTTCTTCCGACTTCCGCAACCCAATGATATGAATATCGTGTCCACTCTAGACACGGTTATCGTACTTGGCATCTTTCTCAAAAACATCCGCGCATCATCATCATCATCAAACCCTAAACCTCAAACCCTAAACCCTAAGGGTTTAGGATTTAGGGTTTAAGGGGTTGGGAATTAGGGGGTTAGGGGTTTAGGGGTTAGGGGTTAGGTATTGGGCTAAGGGGTTTGGAGGTTTAGTTTAGTGTTTTAGGTGTTTAGGGGTTTAGTTTAGGGTTTTAGGGGTTTAAGGGTTCGGGGTTTAGGGGTTTGGGTGTTAAGGATTGAGGTTTAGGTGTTCGGTTGAGGGTTGGGGGTTAGCGGTTGGGGGGTTGGCTATTGGGGATTGGGGTTTAGGATTTAGGGTTGAGGGTCTAGGGTCGTGGGTTGAGATTTAGGGTTTGGGGTTTTGGGTTTAGGGTTTAGGGCTTTGGATTTGGGGATAGGGGTTAGGGGTTAGCGTATAGGGTTTAGGGTTAGGGGTTAGGGGTTAGCGTATAGGGTTTAGGGTTAGGGGTTAGGGGTTGGGGTAGGGGTTATGGTTTAGGGTTTGGGGTTAGATGTTAGGGTTTAGGGGTTTCTTGATTTCGAGGTTTAGGGTTTAACTTTTAGGGTTTGGGGGTTTAGGGTTTGGGGTTTTAGGATTTTTGGGTTGAGGGTTTTTTAGGATTTAGGGTTTAAGGTTTAGGATTTAGGGTTAGGGGTTAGGGGTTTAGGGTTTAGGGGTTACGGTTTTAGGGTTTAGGATTTAGGATTTAGGGATTAAAGTTTAGGGGTTAGGGTTTAGGGTTTGGGGTTTGGGTTTAGGGGTTAGGGTTTTAGGGGTTCAGGTTTAGGGGTTCGGGCTTGTGTTTGGGTTTAGGGGTTAGGGTTTTAGGGGTTCGGGTTTCGAGTTTCGGGCTTGGGTTTGGGTTTTGTGGTTTTAGAGGTTTTGGGCTTTTGGTTTTGGGTTTTGGGTTCGGGGTTTAGAGGGTTTTTAGAGGGTTCACTATTTAGGGTTTAGGGTTGTGGTTGGGGTTTGAGGTCATGGGTCTAAGGTCTATTAGAGTTAAGGTCTAGGAACAATTAGGGTTTAGAGTCTAGGGTCTATTAGGGTTTGCGGTTGGGGTTTGGGGTCTAGGGTCCAGGGTTTGGGTCTATTAGGGTTTAGGGTCTAGGGTCTATTAGGATTTAAGGTATAAGATTTAAGGTCTATTAGGGTTTAATTTCTAGGGTCTAGGGTCAGGGGTTTTGGGTCCAGGGCTTACGATTTATGGTTTAGGGATTAGGGTTTAGGCGTAGGGGTTAGGAGTTAGGGTTTGGCGGTTGGGGTTGGGGTTCGGGTTAGGGGTTTAGGTGTTAGGGGTTAGGGTTTTAGTGTTTAGGAGTTAGCGTTTTAGGGGTTAGGGTTTTTAGGAGTTAGCGTTTTAGGGGTTAGGGTTTGGGGTTTGGGATTTAGGGTTTCAAAACCTTTAAACCCAAGCCCAAACGCTAAATCCCAAAACACCAAACCATAAATCCTAAATCGCAAACCCACTAAAAACCCTAAACCCCCTAAAAATCCAAAACCCAAAGTGCAAAACCCTAACCCTCAACCTCTAAACTCTAACCGCTAAACCCAAAACCCAAAACCTTGACTCCGACCCCCACCTCGAAACTTGAACCTGAACCTGAACCCGAACCCCAATCTCAACCCCTAAACCCAAAACCATAACCATAAACCCTAACCCCTTCCCTAACCCTCTAAATCCTAAACCCCAACCCCGAACCCCAACCCTAAACCCTCAACCCCCCAACTCTAAACCCAAACCCCAACACCCAAACCCCTAAAACCCCTAAACCAAAAATCCTAAACCCTAAAAGTTTCGGGTTTGATGATTATAATGTATAGATGCTCCTGAGCAAGATGCCAAGTACAGCAACCACGTCTAGAGCAGACACAATATTCATATCATTGGATTGCAAAATTCGAAATAAATTATTAAGATCAGCATTGGCTCGTAGGAATGCGACAAAGAAGTCTTCCTAGCCACGCACTAGTGCCAGCATCCAATCAAGAGATGGCGAAGAACTACTGCTGTTGAATGTGGCAAAGAGATGATCGGCGATACGAGTGAATCTATTCAATTCGCAGATCATTTGAATCGCAATGATCAGTGACCTCGCGCGATCTGCGAAGGAGATCGTGGAGGTAACTAGATCATTTACGGCATTAGTGAGTGCGGTCGGGCCAACGACTATGTTATTTATACCTTGTCCAGAAACACGTTTCAAGGCATTGTAGTCGCTATCGTAACCCAAGAAAGTGGATATGGGAATTGGAAGTAGAGAAGTAGGAGAAGTACGCCCGAACTCTAACCACTCCTCAAAAACTCTATTTGGTAGGCGTCCAAGTAGAGGTTGTCCCGTCGTATCCTTAGCCTGATCTAATGATTATTGGCTCGCAGTATGATGTTGAACCATCTAGTGGATGGATTTTGCTGAGCCGGAAGTACGAGACTATTGTGTGAAAAGGTCTCTCCCAATTCAACGCGCAAATCCACAATGAAGTCCCTGTACGCTCCACTACCCCTTTCAACGTTGAACTCTTTTGTGAATTCCGCCAGTAACTGAATTCAATTCTGTCACTGACATTAATAATCAATCAATAGAAAAACATAAAAATAATAACTCAATGGAGTGTTTGTAATTATCCTTTTCAACATTGAATTCCACCATTAACTCAATTAAATTCTGTCATTGACAATAATAATAAATCAATAGCTAAAATAATAATAATTAAAAGCTAAAATAGTAATAATTAAATACTATTAATAAATAATTTTTATTTTTCTCATCTTAGGCATTATTGTCAAATCTTGAATCGAATCGTGAATCGTTTTGCTAAAATAATTAATTGTGAATCGTATGATTCATTTTATTTAACACTAGCGGTTGAGCGCAAATAAAGTGAATCACACGATTCACGATTCATTATTTTAGCAAAACGATTCACGATTCGATTCAAGATTTGACTATAATGCCTGAGATGAGAAAAATGAAAATTATTTATTTTAACTTTTAATTATTATTATTTTAGTTATTGATTTATTATTATTGTCAATGGCTGAATTCCACGTTGAAAATGATAATTACAAGCACTTTCATTGAGTTATTATTTTTATATTTTTTTATTGATTGATTACTATTGTCAATGGTAAATTTAAATTCAGTTAATGGCGGAATTCACAAAGGAATTCAACATTGAAAGCGGTAATGGAGCTTATAGGGACTTCATTGAGGACTTGCGCATTGAATTAGGAGAGACATTTTCACACAATATTTCTGCACTTCCTGCTTAGTAAAATCCACCCACTCGATGGTTCAACATCATATTGCGAACCAACAACCATTGGATCAGGCTGAGTATTCAACGGAACAACCCCTACTTGGACGCCAACCAATTGAAGAATTTTAAGGAGTAGTTGGAGTTCGGGCATACTTCTCCTACTGCTCCACATCTAATTCCCGAATCCACTTTCTTGGGTTACGATGGCGGCTACAATGCCCTAGAACATGTTTCCGGACAATGTATGAATAACATAGCCCTTGGCCCGACCGCACTCACTAATGCTGTAAATGATCTGGCTACCTCCATGATCTCCGACGTAGACCGCATAAGGTCACTGATCTTCGTGATTCAAATGATCTGTGAATCAATTACATTCACTCGCATCTCTGACCTTTTCATTGCCACATTTAGCAGCAGTAGCAACAATTTTTCGCCACCCCTTGACTAGATGCTAGCACTAGTGCGTAGTTGGGAAGACCTCTTTACTGCATTGCTCGGAGCCGATGCTAATTCCAATAATTTCTTCCGACTTCCGCAAGCCAATGATATGAATATCGTCTCCGCTCTAGATGCGATTGTCATACTTGGCATCTTGCTCAGGACAATCCGCGCATCATCATCATCAAACCCTAAATCCCAAACCCTAAACCTTAGGGTTTAGGGTTTAGGGTTTGGGAGGTTGAGGGTTAGGGGTTAGGGGCTTGCGGTTTAGATTAGTTTAGGGTTTTAGGGGTTTAGGGGTTTAGTTTAGGGTTTTAGAGTTTAAGATTTAGGATTTGAGGTTTGAGGGTTAGGGCTTTGGGTGTTGGGGTTTGGGGTTTAGGTGTTCGTTTTAGGGTTGGGGGTTGGTTGGTGGGGCCCTAGAATTTAGGGTTGAGGGTCTAGGGTCGGGGGTTGAGGTTTAGGGTTTGGGGGCTTGGGGGTTTGAAGTTTTGGGGTTAGAGGGTTAGGGTTTAGGGTTTAGAGTTTAGAGGTAGGGTTTATGGATTGGAGTATGGGGTTAGGTTTTGGAGTTTGGGGTTTAGGGTTTGGGGTAATTGGGTTTTGGGGTTTCAGGGTTTGGCTTTTAGGGTTTGGGGGTTTAGGGTTTAGGGTTTGTGATTTGGGGTTTTGGGATTTTTGGGTTTTGCATTTCCGATTTTGGGTTTAGGATTTGTGGTCAGTGGTTAGGGTGTAGAGTTTGGGTTTAGGATTAGGGGTTAAGGGTTTAGAGTTTATGGTTTGGGGTTAGGTCTTGGGGTTTGGAGTTTGGAGTTTGGAGTTTAGGGGTTTGGGGTTTTGGGGTTCCGCGGTTTCGAGGTTCGGCATTTAGCTTTTAGGGTTTGGGGGTTTAGGGTTTGGGATTTGGGGTTTGGGGTTTTTGGTTTGTGGGTTTAGGATTTTTTAGGGTTTAAGATTTAGGGTTAGGGGTTAGAGGTTAGGGATTAGGGTTTAGGGCTAGGGTTTAGGAGTTAGGGGTTAGGGGCTTAGGGGTTAGGGTTTAGAGTTTACGGGTTAGGGTTTGGGGTTTGGGGTTTGGGTTGGGGGTTTAGGGTTTAGAGTTTGGGATTTGGGGTTTTTGGTTTGTGGGTTTACGGTTTTTTAGGGTTTAGAGATTTGGGTTTAGGGTTAGGGTTTAGGAGTTAGGGATTAAGGGTTAGGGTCTTAGGGGTTAGGGTTAAGAGCTTAGGGTTAGGGTTTGGGGTTTGGGTTTAGGGATTTAGGGGTTAGGGTTTTAGGGGTTTCGGGTTTCGAGTTTGGGTTTGGGTTTGGAGTTTGGGGTTTAAGTTTTAGGTTTAGGTTTGGTGGTTTTAGGGTTTTAAGGTTTTAGGGGATTAGGGTTTTGGGGTTTTGGGCTTTGGGTTTTGGATTATGGATTTGGAGTTTAGTGTTTGGGGTTTAGAGGGTTTTTAGGGGGTTCACTGTTTTGGGTTTGGGTTTGGGTTTGGGGTTAGGGTTAGGGTTAGGGTTAGGGTTTGGGGGTTGGGATCTGGGGTCTATTTGGGTTTAGGGTCTAGGAACTATTAGGGTTTAGGGTCTAGGGTCTATTAGGATTTGGTGTTCGGGATTGGGGTTTGAGGTTTGGTGTTTGGCGTTTTCGAGTTTGGGGTCTGCGGTTTAGGATTTAGGGTCTAGGGTCTGTTAGGGTTTACGATCTAGGGTCTAACGTCTAGGGTCTTTTAGGATTTAAGGTTTAGGATTTAAGGTTTTATTAGGGTTTAGGGTCTAAGGTCTAGGGACTAAGGTCGAGGGTCTAGGGTCGGAGGTTAGAGGTTTAGGGTTTAAGGTTTAGGAGTTAGGGTTTAAGCCTAGGGGTTAAGAGTTAAGGGTTCCAGGGTCCAAGGTCGAGGGTCAGGGGTTTTGGGTCGGGGGTTCAAGGTTTAAGAGTTAGGATTTAGGCTTAGGGGTTAGGAGTTAAAGGTTGGGTGTTGGGGTTGGGGTTGAGGTTAAGGGTTTAGGATTTGGGATTTAGGGTTTCAAAACCCTTAAACCCGAAACATAAAACCCCAAAACCCCAAACCCCAAACCATAAACCCTAAATCCCAAAATCTAACCCCAAACCCCAAACCGCCCTAACCCTAAACCCTAACCCCTAATCCTAAAACCCTAACCACTAAACCCAAACCCCAAATCCCAAACCCTAATCCCTAAACTCCAAAACCCTAAACCCTAAATCTGAAAACCCCAACCCTAAAGCCCCAAACCCCGCACCCTGAAACCCCAATCCCTAACCCCGGACACCAAACCCTAAACCATAAACCCTAACCCTCTAAACCCTGTCCTAAACCCTAAACCCTAACCCCCTAACGCTTGAACATGCACCCGTAAGAAAGTCTGTGTAACATAGTGTTAAGGCAATACCTAAGTGTATATAATATAGTGTGTCAACAATGTTAGTATCGGTGGAAAAGATTGTTTAGTCCATATTTTCAATTCGACTATTTCTGTTTTAGCAATATCAAAACTTGTTAGGAATGCTATATAGAGGCTCATAATCAGACATTTCTCAGAGGATCAATTTTACTTTTTGATGACAATATATTTCTCTAACTAAACTTGAACATTCAGTTGCAATGTATGGAACAATGTTATTAAAAGAGATAAGCGCACCAAGGCACCAAGGTCTCCTGAGGCCTTAGACGCAAGGCGCAAGGTGCAACGCGAGTCACAGGCTTCATCAAAGTAAGGTGCACCATAGCAGGTTGAAATAATATAACTTAATATGAGGCATGCAAGCAAATAACTAACTGGTATAACATAAACAAAATGAAACACTGAACATTTTAAAAAATAAATACCAACAAATATCGCTATTTTAACATAGACAAATGAGTAATATTCCAAAGTTCAATATAAAACACGAATATCCATGATCTAAAGGTCAACTAAATCATAAAAATAGAGAAGAAATAGAGCAATTCAGAATAAATATTTAATAAACAGAGCAGTCTAGAGAAGAAAATAAAATAAAATAAAAAGAAGCAGAAAAGCGGAGAAGAAGAAGAAGAAGACAACATAGTACATTTGAAGTCCTAAAAATCTTAGCTCAGCCTAATTCCATAAACAAAAATAGAGTATTCTAGAAAATAAACGAAAAATAAGATGAAGGTAGCATAGGGAAGAGGAGAAGAAGAAGAAGAAGAGGAAGAAGACGACTGACGAATAGAAGAGAAGAGACGAAGAGAAGAACAGGCAAAGAGAAGGGGAAGAAGAGACAAAAACAAAGAGAAGATACACATACTTGCACATTCGAAGCTCCTGGACTGGATGACAAGTTCGACTTTTTTGGAGCTTTGGATTAGGCCTTGTTTTTTCTTCTGTCGTTTGTTGATTTGGGGCGAAATCGACAATATTAGCATGTATATTTGAAGGATATGATCTGTTGTAGCTGACCCATGTAATTCCAATGGTCCAATTCAAATATAAAAAACAAAAAAAAGGCCTGTGCCTTGGGCTTAATCGCGCCTTGTTCCAACCGCACGCTTTAATCGCGCCTTAGTGAAGTCGCCTCGCCTTGACCATTGCAAGGCGCAGGGGCTGGGCATGGCTAGGCCTTGCGCCTAGGTGTGCTTTTAACAACATTGGTATGGAAACAAATAAATGAAATTTATTTGCTTGATTCAAGAAGGAAAGAGGGAGCGACCAACCTAGAGGACCATAGGACCACCTACTCGCTGGGCCTACCAAGAGGGGTGAAACATAGCCTAACTCATAGCCCCACTAGGGTCCTAGAGAGCCGAAGCACAGAGCGAAGGAGGATGAGAATCACATTATACCTGCGAATATTTAAACCCAGAGCAACATGCTCACCAAAACCAGTGAGAGTGATCTCCCACCCATTAGGCTACCACCCTTGGTGGTAATGAAATGCTTTTTTCGTTTGCCCATCTAAATTATACATGTGGTGCACACACTTAATATGAAAGGTTGTTCAATCTAAAACTTAGTTCAACTACCCTACAAAATATTTATTTACCAACAACACTATCAAAACTTGTTATGAATGTTAAAGTGGATCAAAATTAAATATATTTCTTAGAGAATCAATGTTACTTTTTGATTACTAATGATTTCTCTAGCGAAAATTTAACATTCAGTTGCACTACATGGAAACAAGGAACAAAATGCTATGTCTGCCAACTGAACTTGTATATGTGGTGAACATACTAATGGCTATTTGCTTCACTGTAATGTCATCCTACATCAAAACTCATACCAATGAATTGAGTTCTGCATCAAAATATAGAGCAGCTAATGATCATATAGGTACTTTTCACAGATTGTTTTTTTGACCCCATCAAATAAATCATCAATGTAGCAAGTAATTAATATATGAACCTCTTGAATGGCGTATTCTCAACTTCTCTATTCAAAACACAAGTGAATCAGTGTCTTCAACATCTAATAATCCAAGAAAAACACAATGTGTTATGCACAAACGTTTAAAGCATTGCTAACATAATAAAGTGGTAGAAAAGAAAATTTACCCAAGGCAACGCACCAATGTGATCCTCGTGACCGTGTGTTATGACAACTGCTTCAATTTTGTGACTCTATTTTCTTATAAAGGTGGTATCACGTATAATTTTCTGGACACCAAGCTCATCATAGCTGAAATACGTGTCCACATGTGATCAAAAGTCGGTGTATCAAAAAAGAAGGGGAGGAATCTAAATAAGCAATAATTACATTAGAAAATTTCACTAGTACTAACAATTTTATATCCAAAAAAGGGCTCATTATGGTTGTATTGAGGTTATATATTATTTTTTGTAGAGGGGCCTTCTCTTAGCAAATAAGATAATTTTTGAAGATATATGAAGAAAAGAGATAGTGATGAGAAAACCCTCCTAGTTTATATATATAAGACATCATATTTACATTCTCCACTTTTACATATTCTATTGAAGGAGGCCATAAAAACGAAGCGATTCAAGGAATCAATTAATGCTAAAATCATTTGAAGGTAAACCTTAGACTCTCAACTTCCCCATGTTGTAATCATGGGTACATGGAATATGTAGACCTAGCGTTTCATTGAGAATAATATTCATAAAATTTTATGGAATACTTGAAGTTGAGTTGATTTTAATTTAAGGTAAAGTTCCCTATGCATGAATCTTGGATTTCACTCATGAATTTAATTTGTACTTGGATTTTGGAGGTGAATTGAAGCGTGAGTAGTGGTCAGCATGAGGGTCCATTAGATAGGGTTGACAATATAAATTGTTCAGTGGAATTTAGGATGGTTAAAAAAAGAAACAATTGAATGGAGATTGCAATTGCCGAATGAAACTATTGAATGATTCTAGAATTCATATCAAGGGTGATGACTGGTTATTTTAGAATTACAGTACTATGGTTTAATTCATGGGAGTTAAATAAGATGATAATTATATTTACTTATGTGGTGTAATATTTATTAGGATTGCGTGATTGAAGTGGATCTTGGTATTTTGGAGTTAGATTTTGAACTATTCTTTTATTGTTTGAGGTTTAATAACCCTCTACCACCATTGGTTTGTTTTTATTCCTATTGTATCATTTAAAAATTATGGGTTTGTTTGGCTTGTTTTTGGGAGAGTTGTTTTTGAAAAAAAAATTTAAAATTTTGTTTGGTTTGTGATTTTTCTCAAAAAATTTCCAAAATCACTTTCTCTCTCTTACACATCAATCAATCATTTTTTATCTCTCCTCTCTCCTTCTCAATCACTTTTTCTCTCACACACATCTACTCAATTACAACAAAATATCAAATCATCCCAAACTCCCAAACTATTTTAAAAATATACAACCAAACAAACCAAAAAAATTTCTAAACTTTCTCTCCAAATTTTTTTTCAAAAACAACTCTCCCAAAAACAAATCAAACAAGCCCTATATGTTTCGTGTATTGCAAAAAGAAAAAAAAATATTTTATCACTCATTTGTGTTCTTAAAAGAAAAATACGGATCAACTATGAAATAACATCAAATATGAATTCTGCAAATAAATCAGATGTATTTTGTGAAACAATTCGAACAAATTTTATCAAAATGTTATTCCAAAGACATTGAATATTTTATTTCTTGTTTGAATTGCAAACATGACTCCAGTCTAACTATGATTTGGACACCTAGCCAATGGAGGTTATTTATTGGCATAAAAACTAGTTTCTACTAGGGCTTTTACCAAAGGCCTATGTGTGGTTCTGGATCTTGTCACGAACTAACGTGGCCATAGTCTTTTAAGACTTGGGTTTTGTTTATTGAATTATTGTACTATTGGATATCAAACCATTGTCTTGGACAAATGACTTTTTATTGGATTACTTATCTTTTCAAATAAATTGTGACATTACACTGTGTTAATTTTAGCTAGGTATCTACCTTGGAAATAAATTGCTCCTTCATTGAATTGTTAGAAACCATATTTCCTTGCTTATCGACTATTTTCTATATGTTTGATCCAACTAGTACTGATAGTTGGTCATTTGTTAGATTGTTGAGCTCACCCTTCTATTATTATGTTTTCGTCAAATTCAGAGTAGAGTTGCGCAGGTTTTGCTTGTGGGAGTGCTGAGTGTAGGAGTTTGATTTTAATTTATTTTAGATTACAAATTTTGTTAATGGAATACAAGGGGATTTTGGTGCAGGTTTCTAAATGTTTAAGATTTATTGTAATTTTTTTTTTTGGGTGGATTTTAGAACCTTATAATTGAATATTTATTTTATTCCCCTGATTATTGTGGTACAAGATTGTTTGGATTTACTCTAGCCTTGCATGCTCGCTCATGTGGATGTGCAACGTTGTCACATGGTTTCAGGTGACAAATAATTATAAAATCATTTAGAAAAAGTTAATGCCTGCCAGAGTTTTCCACACCGGAAAAATAATTTTATGAAGCAAATTTGATTAATACACTTAGATCCTCTACTTGCAGCAGAGAATCCAGAGCAGCAGGGAAAGATGTAGCACAGATGAAATTACGCAATTGAGCATATACTTTGGTAAGACCCCAAGAAAACAAAAACCTTCAGATGATAGGAACGAAGCATGATGATCACCAAGCTACAACTTGTTAAATAAATGTAAATCAGACCAGTTTGTTAAGACTTACTCTGGAAACATAACACCAGCATCGATCAAAATATAACGATCATAATTCCCAACAAGCATGCAATTCATCCCAATTTCACCCAGGCCTCCAATTGGAAGGACACGGAGAGGTGGACCATCAGACCCTTCATAAAACTATTCCATCTTACGTTGAACAGAATCTTCCATACTTTTTCCAGCCCCTTCCAATCTTCCTGATTTTTTACGGGGTACTTTAGGTCCACGCGTACCTACAATGGACCAACAGTATCACATTCATGTATTTCAGAAATAAATATAACAAAGACAACAAAACAAAACAATTGAGAAGGTTGGATTTTAACAAAAGTAAACAAAAGGGTTTGCAACAGGCAGAAATGTACATCGAAAGAATAAGAAACACATTTATTGGAGAAGACAATTTATGATATGGGTAAACTTATCTTTTGTATTCTACAAACAAAACCTAAGATAAAATATGTCCTGTAGCTTTAAAACTTCTAAAATCTTAAAAATTTTATTGCTTACCACCTAGAAAATATAACCCCAGTCAAGTGAACCTAGTCCAACAATTAGCTTGGGCAGATTGAAGTTTTTCATTTCTTGGAAACCCAAAAACAGGCATAAGATAAAGATTTTGTTTCCATTTCTTGTCCCCCTTTTTTTCTTGGCAACAACCCAGAGGATGAAGTGATTTTTAACTCTGGCATTTGCTTCAAGCAAACATGAAACCAGAACATAATTTGTTAAAGTCATGCTACAATGAACCAAAGCTTCAATCATGAATTTCTGATTTCAATTATATGGCTCTACAACAACTTGCATAAATACATTTTTTAGTATGAATAGCAAAAATACATTTTTTAGTATGACTAGGAGATTTAAGTGCCCTAATCTACCGATTACAAACATGTCATAAATCACTTGTTTGCAAAGAGAGCCATATGTAATAGAAAATCTCATTCATCCAATTAATTAGCTATCAATAAACAACACAAATAGTACGTCTCACATCATAATCCAATACATTAACGAGCTATATCCCCTGTTTGGTAAATCAGAAAAACATGCCAGAAAGAAAAAAGAAAAGATAAAACTTTCCACTTTGTCAGGAAAAGCTCGAAGACTGCTTATCTATTGAAGAAGAAGAGGCGAGAGAGCACAAAAAGCAACGCTTGTTAGGGTTTGGTCGACAAGAGAAATTGTAGGGGCATAGCGAGAGTGCACTGAAAGCCGCCATTTCTATGATTGTTACTGATTGTTTCCCAATAAGTTAATCGAAAGTGTAGAGAGATTATGCAGGTTACTGAGGATTAAAACTATGAATTAGAAACCCTAAACCTCTGGACATTCGGAGGGTCTTTCAAGCGGGAAATAGAGAGAGAGAGAGAGAGAGAGTAGCAGAGGATTTTATGGAGGACCATTAAATATCTCTCTTATCATTTTGGTGAAGATTGAGGACGCACGCTTGGTTTTGCCGTCTACACGTGACAAATGTTTTTTTGTTTTTTTTGTTTTTGTTTTTTTTATGGAGGACCATCAAATATCTCTCTTATCATTTGTGTATTATTTGATTCTTGTTATTTTAATCTGTCCGACTTTTCCTTTTAATTTAATTGATATTGGTTCAATAAACAACCAACGTTAGGTTTGGTAGACAAAAAATTATTACATGCTCAAATAATATAGGTGTTTGGGAAGTGAATTTTTATGTAGATTTTTTATTTGTAGGATATTATTTGATAAAAAAAATTTTGGTCTTTGGGAAGTGTACACGGGCGAAATATCCTTTGCTTTCCGTACTTCTTGGACTCAAGTTTCACGTGACGGCGTCTAACCTGGCAACAAAGAAACGGTGAGCTGCCCGGCGGGGGTCGCCGGATAGACCCTCCGACGATCAAGTCAGAACACTTGAGGAAGAAGAATACTGTTAGAAAGAGAGAATCGCTCAAAGTTGCATACCTCTAACGTTCATCTTCCCTTCCTTTTTTCTAGGCTGGCCATGCAGCCTCAGGATTATGCGCGCACTACCTTTGTTGTCCTTCCCTGGACAGGTGGCAGTGCTTGCCTCTCACCACCTTACACTTGTAAAGGCCAAATCCCCCAACCAGTACATGCAGAACTGCCAAACGGTATTGACGCGTGCCTGGAGCAGATTTCCTTTCCCTCACACCATTGACCCAGGTAGCATACTTCACTGGAGTACCACGACCGACCTACCCCTCGTGGAGAATCGCCAACACAAGAAAAACAACCGAGCTGTGTCTTGCCAACCTATCCCTTGGAAAGAAGCAAAAGTATGATGCTCATGGCCGATCTGCGTGGGACCGGTCCATCCTGGCTCGGTTGCGAGGCATGCTGGCCTTCCTCCGCTCTACCTTTATTCTAGGTTATATGAAGTCGGGCCATCTCGGCTAATCGGTCGGAGGCATGTTGGCCCTCGTCCCGTCCTCAGTCTAGTCCGGGCTGTCCTTAGCTCGGTTGCGTCATGCCACTGCGTGCCCAACCGAATGTTCAGCCATGGCACGGTCCGACGAGGCCCTGGACCACGCCTGGTCAGTAAAACTACCTCGGCCGTGTAGATCAGGTCGGAAAGCCGCACCAATTGAGAAAACCGATCTGCTCCAATGAGATCCGCCCCAATCGGCATTACCGTAGGTCGGTCGTACCAGTCTGGAGCGAATCTCCCTCTCAATTGCCCCTTAATCTCATCCGAGCTAATCGTGATTGGGGTTACCACCGTGACTGAGCTAACGATCCCTGAGTTGCGCCAGTACCAAGCCGAGAGTGATTGGCTTCAAAGCCGTTACCGAGCTATCCCATTTGGTCGGTCATTGATTCAGTAGTCTTGTCAAGGATCGTACAGCCGTACTGACAGAGTTGCCCTCGCGGTGCCACGTGGCTTCACGCCATTGGTGACGTGCCCATTGACTTTCCCACCACTTTTATACACAAACGAGGAGTCAAACACCCCCCACTGTTCATCTCCAACCACGAGCCCGAAAACCCTAGCTCTCAAGACCTCCCAACTTCTGTCATTGCTGCCGTTATTGCCCATTTGCCTCCTCTACATCCGTTTTTGCTCCCTCAGAAGCTGCAATCGAGCTCGTGATCGACTGATCCCCTCTTGGCATCCGTCGTCGGTAAGCTCCTTCACCCTTGTTCTTCGCGTTCTTCACATTTTCAAGCCTGTGTTCTTCGTGTTCTTCATGCACTTTGTTTAGGGCAATAGCTGCACACCTTAGGAAGAACTGGAATCGGAAACGCGGATGGGGCTCCCATGCCCCTTGTTTCTTCGAGTAAAACGTACAAACTTTGAATTTAGGATGAACAACTTGAATCTGGGTAGGACCAAGCTAAATAGGCAACTTAGATCCATAAATAAAACTTTAGCCGCGCAAAAATTAGTTTGTGGCTTCTCGTTGAGGCCGCGACCGTGTTGGATAAAGGGAGTCAGAACCGAACTTGAAAGGCCAAATCGGCCAAATAGTCGAGCCGAGATAGGGGCTAGACCGGCCACATATAACGAGGGATTTTGACCGAGCTAGGAGTTCCGATAGGAGCCGTGCAACTTTTGTCGTGCCAACCCTTAGTCTTATTTTTTAACAATGCAGAACAAACTAGGACCGACCAGGCCCCTTCAGCATTACCACTAGTGGAGCTCAAAGTTCGAGCAAATACACCAGAATTTTCCACCGAGATACAAATTAAACCACCAAATAAGTAAAACCAAGATAGATGGAGAAGTACCGGTTCATGGTGAGCTCGCCCGGTGCACTAGCCGAGTTTCGTAGGAAGTACAACATTCCAGACGATGTCCATTTAGAGCTGGCCAAGAAGGGAGATACCCCATGGGGTGACCTAGATCGGTGCCCCTTCACGATCGTATCCATCGTGGAAGGAGGGCTTCGCTTCCCGGTCCAACCCTTGATTTGTGAATTTTTGAGGCAAACAAGGCTTTGTCCGACCTAAGTCTCAAACAACATGTATAAGATAATAAACGGCGTGGCCGAGCTAAATCGGAGGCTTAGTCTCAATCTCGGTCTCGCCGAGATATTATATCAATACAGCCTTAGCAAAAATAAGGGTGGGTTTTGCTGGTACCTAAAGGTCAAGAAAGGTCGAGCAAAATTCATAGAGGGTAACCCAAATAAGGAGACAAACGACGATGACTTCTTGTGGGTGTCCGGTCGTTATGAGGACACCGAGGCGCCCATACCGCGCTGGTACATTAGGAAAGATTTTGGCAGTGCTGGTGAGTAGTTCGGCAAACTGCACTACTTTCTTTTTGCATTGATTTTCTTCCTGCCGGTCTAACACTTGTCCTCTTTTTTGCAGATTACAAGCTTTTGGCCGACGACTAGTCCCGAGCTAATCAAGAGGCCATCAGAGTTCTGCTTCGTCATCCGGCCGAGGAAAGGGAGTCTCTAAAACTCCTCGGCTTCGAACCGACCTACCACTACACGACACCGCGCAAGAGCAGGGTGACTGACTTTCTTCATGCGCCCTCCCCAAAACCAGATCTAAATCTTTCACCGATCAGACTTGTTCCCCTCACCGCTGAACAAGAAATGGAAAAAATCCAAGCAATCAAATCAATGATCACCGGAGAACCGAGCAACTCCCAGCCACCAGAGGTATCTAGGGGGACTTCCTCCACTCCAGCCGGGCAAAAGGAGGGGGCTGTGCTGGCTCTTGCAAGCGAACAACCAACAGGCCAGTCGAAGAAGCGACTAAGAAAAGACCAAACCGGGCAGCATCTAGTTGACGAAGATTCAACCGAGCACGCATCCATCGAATTGGGTGACCAGACCGAACAACTACTCAGCGGGTCATCCAAAACCCCAACTGCCCCCCCCGGTCTGGGCGCCCGAGATCAAATACAAAGGCCGGGCTGTCTCTGAGGCCGATTCAGTGTACGCAGACAAGGATTACTCCCTCGGTTTCAACATGACCAAGGGGCTGATCCTTCCCACCGACATGAAGAAGCACGACGAGCTGTCCGACCTGAAGGTGCTTCGCTCGGCGGCAAAATCGATCGTTTTGGTAAGTTCTCCACTCTTTTTTCTTCAAGTTATTGACCGGTTTTTGCTCGGTTTTCTGAATTCTTACAATCTTTCATTTGTTTTCAAGCCGCGCAAAAGAATTATTTAGCACAGGATTGAATGATTGCAGTGCGACAGAGCCTGCGGGATGCCATTGTTGAAAACAAGGCCAAAACGGCCGAAATAGCCAAGTTGAAGGCCGCATAAGAGGCGACTGAGGCAGAGCGTGATACGCTAAGCCAGAAGTTGGGCCGGGCTGAAGAGGATAAATAGCGGGCCGTGAAGTCGACGAAGGCTCGGTACCTCGCCGAGCTGCGCAAACTTCGCAATGCCCATAAGGAAGAGAAGGATAAGACGGTCGACGACGCCGAAGATCGGGGGTATGCGCAGGGCGAGAAGACTTATGAACGATAGGTTCAGGGGACGAAGGACATCTTTTTCTAGTGCGGCTGGAAAACTGCCGTGGAAAAAGTTGGCCTCGGACAAGACGCCGAGATGTTCCAGCATCCGCCCACTGCTTATATCCCGGTCTACATGCAGGCGTATGCCACCGCCGCTCAAAAAAGGCTCATCGAAGAGGCGAAAAAAAACACCGAAGAAGAAGCCACCGCTGCGCAGCCCGCCGACCAAACCCCTCATGAAACTTCGGAGACGGCCGAAAACAGCGAGGCCGAGTAGGAAGTTGTTGCTGCGGAAGATGAGACCGATGAGGGCTTGACCGAGCAGACAACGACGACTGCTGAGCAAACCGTTGAGATCGATCTTGACTGAAGACCCACTGTTTCCTGCCCTTGTTGCTTTTTATTTTTCTCTCTTTCCTTTTTGAATGTAACTGGGCTAGGCCCCACCTTTGGTATGTAATTTCCTTAATCAATGAAAATTTAAACTTTTTGCTCGTTGATTTTCTATTTCTGTTCGGTTGCAACATGCAAAATTTCTTCATTCAAATGGTCACGAATCATAACTGGTAGGTCGGCTATGCCAAGCCAAAATCAGAATTCCTTCAATTTTTGAGCGAACGTCACCATTTCATTTGGCCGAGCTAAAATCAGCTCGGCTTCATGAATTGGGCAAAACGCGAACGCTCTGATTTGGGCGAGCGAAAATCAGCTAGGACCTTGTAGATGAAATAAAACACTAATATTTCGAAGGGACCGAGGAAAAATCAGTTTAACCCTATAGGAGGTTAGATGTATCGCCAAAATTTCATTTTGGCCGAGCAAAATCAGCTCGGCCCCTTTCATTTTGATAAAACGCCAAGCATCATGGCCCTTTCGCTGAGCGAAAATCATCTCGGCCTTCTTCGATTGGCAGAACACCAATATGTCCATGTGGCCGAGCAAAATCAGCTCGGCCTGTTTGAGTTGCGTAAGACGCCAACATTTCATTTGTCTGAGCAAAGTCAGCTTGGCTCTTGTAAGTTGGACAAGACACCAACATTTCGTTGGGCCGAGCAAAGTCAGCTCGGCTCTTTTCAGTTGGACAAAACACCAACATTTCGATTTGGCCGAGCAAAATCAGCTCGGCTTGTGGATTGGTCAGAACACCAATATTTCATTTAAGTTGGTCATGACGCCAACATCCTAACTGGGCGAGCAAAAATCAGCTCGGGCCTTATGCAAATTGGACAATACACCAATGATTTCACTGGACAATACACCAACTGTTTGTGCGATTAGTTTTTATACCTGTGAGAGGAGATCAGCTTGGCCCTTTTCAAGTTGGTCTCCCTGCCCCTGGCATCCTCAGAGGCCCAATATCCTTACAAATCACATAGTATAAACAAAAAGTAGAGACATTTTTCATTATAGAGAGCAGTGCTATCCTTACATCGAATGCCAGATGGCTAAAGGTTTAGACAGCTAAGCAACAAAAGCGATTACATTTCAAAAGTAAAAGATCTTAAGGTTGGTTTCATTCCACGGTCTGGGGATAGCTTTACCATCTAAATCTTCCAGATGGTATGCCCCTTTGTCTGCCAGGCCAGTCACCTTGTATGGTCCTTCCCAATTTGCACCAAGTTTTCCTTCACCAAGGACCACCGTGTTGTCCATCACCTTTCTCAAGACCAAGTCCCCGATTTTGAACAGCCTAGGGTGCACAGCCTTGTTGTATTTCTTGGAGAGTTCCTACTGATAGGCCGCTATGTAGATCAGAGCCCGTTCTTTTCTTTCCTCGGCTAGGTCAAGCTCCAATGCGACTGCTTCATTATTCAAATTTGGCTGGAAACTCTTAGACCGGATAGTTGGCATACAAATTTCCAGTGGGATAACAGCTTCCATGCCATAAGCCAAGGCGAATGGCGTCTCTCCGGTCGATTGCCTCGGCGTAGTGCGGTATGCCCAGAGCACATTAGGGAGTTCTTCAGCCCACTTCCCTTTGGCTTTTTCAAGACGCTTCTTCAGTCCGTCTAGGATGGTCTTGTTGGAGGCCTCCGCTTGTCCATTTGACTGAGGATAGGCCGATGTTGAATTGTAGAACTCAATCTTTAGCTCTTCGCAAAATCCGCGAAAGAGTTTCCCATCGAACTAAGTACCATTATCTGAGATTAGGGCCTTTGGTATACCGAAGCGAGTGATAACATTTTGCCAAACAAACTTCTTCACATCTTTTTCCTTTATGGTTGCCAACGGCTCGGCCTCAACCCACTTGGTGAAGTAGTCGATAGCGGCGATGAAGAACTTGCGGTTGCCCGGGGCAGCTGGGAGTGGCCCCACAATATCCAATCCTCAAAGCATGAACGGCCAAGGACTTGTAAGGGGGAGCAACTCTCTGGCTGGCTGGTGGATTTGGTGAGCGAAGTTCTGACACTTTTCATACCGGCGAACGTATTTCTGCACGTCTGCCTGCATGCATGGCCACCAGTAACCTTGGGAAATTGCTCGGTAAGCCAAAGATCTGCCCCCAATATGGCTCCCGCAGATGCCCTCATGAATCTCATAGAGGAAAGCTTCCACTTTGGCAGGATGGACACACTTTAGGAGCAGCCCGGTAAAAGACTTCTTGTATAAGGCTCCAGACGGCGAGAGCCAAAACCGCTCTGACTTAGCCCGGATTTTGTTGGCTGCCTTCTTTTCTTCGGGCCGAACTCTATCTTTCAGGAAGGTGATGATGGGGTCCATCCAGGAAGGTCCCAAGTCAGTGCAGAGTACCTTGGGCACTTCTGGCTCCTCAATGCTTGGCCGAGGCAAGAAATCTATCATCAAGGGATTAGGGAAGGCTGATTGCGTAGATGCAAGGCCGGCCAGTTCGTCTGCTGCGTTGTTTTCTTCACGGTTGATTTGCTCCACTCGTATGGCGGCGAACTTCTTGATCTCTACGTACACCAGCACCTAATACTTGGTAGATGAAATAAAACACTAATATTTCGAAGGGACCGAGGAAAAATCAGTTCAACCCTATAGGAGGTTAGATGTATCGCCAAAATTTCATTTTGGCCGAGCAAAATCAGCTCGGCCCCTTTCATTTTGATAAAACGCCAAGCATCATGGCCCTTTCGCCGAGCGAAAATCATCTCGGCCTTCTTCGATTGGCAGAACACCAATATGTCCATGTGGCCGAGCAAAATCAGCTCGGCCTGTTTGAGTAGAGTACCTTGGGCACTTCTGGCTCCTCAATGCTTGGCCGAGGCAAGAATTCTATCATCAAGGGATTAGGGAAGGCTGATTGCGTAGATGCAAGGCCGGCCAGTTCGTCTGCTGCGTTGTTTTCTTTACGGTTGATTTGCTCCACTTGTATGGCGGCGAACTTCTTGATCTCTGCGTACACCAGCACCTGATACTTGGCCATTCTTTCATCCCTGCCCTCATACTCCCCGGAGACCTGATTGACCACCAGTTTGGAGTCGCTGAACACCATGAGAGCCGACGCTTTCATCCTCAATGCACTCCTCAGTCCGGCGAGGAGGGCTTCATACTCCGCCTCATTGTTGGACGTAGGGAAACCGAGCGTAATTGCTTGTTCGATGATCAGCCCGTCCGGGGAAGTCAACACGATACCTAGTTCGACGCCATGCCTATTAGCTGCCCTGTCGACGAAGAGCTTCCACATCTCGCCAATGAACAACTTCCAACAGTCAGAGGGATTTTGTGAGCTTCTCAACTCCAAGGCTCTGGTCGGCTCATTCTAGTCTCTTTCCTTGCCTTGGCTGGGTTCACACCCCGATGAGTTATCCGGGTTCTCAAGTTCGGCTGCCATTTGCTCTTCTTCCACTCGCGAGCCAACATTTGTCGGCATTGCCTGAACCACGGGCTGTGCCAAATCCGTTCTAGCCAAATCAACCGGGCAAACCGGATGCATTCTAGGGGCAAATTCCGCCACAAAGTCTGCAAGGGCTTGAGCCTTGATTGCGGTGCACGGTCAGAACTTGAAGTCGTGCTGCCCCAATTCCACGACCCATTTCAAGATTCTCTCGGTAAAGTCTGCCTTTTCAAAGAGCACCTTAAGTGGAAACTCGGTTAGCACAACTATTGCATGGGCATGAAAATAGTGCGCCAGCTTTCTCGAAGCCATCATCAGGGCCAGCGCTAATTTTTCCAGCAGAAGATATCTTGTCTCAGCCGGGAGAAGAGTCTTGCTTACATAGAAGATGGGCAGGTGCTGGATGCCTTCAGCACGGACTAGGACGGCGCTCACCGTATGTTGAGAAACCGCAAAGTAGAGATATAGTTCTTCACCCGGTTTTGGCGTGACCAAGATTGGGGCTAAGGAAAGGTACACTTTTAGATCCGCCAGTGCACGGTCACATTCGTCATCCCAAAAAAACTTGGCCTTCAAAGTTTTGAAGAAGGGCCTGCAACGATCTGAAGACCGGCTGATAAATCTGTTCAGCGCGGCTGCCATCCCGGCAAGATGTTGCACGTCCTTTGCGGAGTTTGGGCGCTCCAGCTCCTGTACAGCTTTGATTTGGGATGGGTCGACTTCAATCCCTCGGTTTGTGACCAGAAAACCCAGGAACTTTCTGGTGCCGACTCCGAAGGCGCATTTGGAGGCATTCAAACGAAGCTTGTGGTGTTTAAGTATGGCAAACATCTCTACTAGGTCAGCGAGGTGTTGAGACTTCTCCTTACTCTTTACCACCATATCGTCAATGTAGGCCTCCATGGTGCGGCCCAGCAGTGGAGCGAACATCTTTGTCACCATCCTTTGAAAAGTTGCCCCGGCATTTTTCAGTCCGAACGGCATGACTTTATAGCAATACAAGCCCCTGGAAGTAGTGAATGATGTGATCTCTCGGTTCGGTTCGTACATGGCTATCTGGTGGTAGCCGCGATATGCATCCAGGAAGCTAAACCTCTGATGGCCAGCGCTCAAGTCCACCAGCTGGTCGATTTGAGGGAGGGAGAAGCTATCCTTTGGGCATGTACGGTTGACTGTCTTGTAGTCAACGCAGACCCGCCACTTGCCATTCTTTTTCGGAACTACTACCGTGTTGGATATCCATCGAGGGTATTGCACTTCTTCTATTGCCCCTGCTTCCAACAAATTTTTGACCTCTTCTGCCACTACCTCGGCATGGTGCAGAGTCGAGCGGCGAGTCCTCTGAATGACCGGCCGTGCATTAGGGAAGACATTCAACTGGTGGCAAACAAAGCTGGGGTTGACGCCAGGCATGTCGTAAGGCATCCACGCAAAAGCCTCCAAATTGGAAACCAAGAAGTTAACATAATCTAACCGCTCGGCGCTAGACAAAGATGATCCCAAGAGGAAGAACTTAGTTGGGTCGTTCTCGTTGATGCGCACTTCCACCAAATCCTCGACTGATTTTACCTCGGCCTTTCTTCCTACGTCCTCAAGGACCTCCTTTCCCTCGGGCCCCTCAATCATTTAGACAAACCCTTTGGCTGCTCGACTGCCATTTACCGCAACGAGGCATTGTTTTGCCATCACCTGGTCTCCCTAAACTTCCTCTATTCGTCCGATTGGCGCCGAGAAGCGCAAAACCTCATGGTAAGTCGACGCTACAGCTTGCATGGCGTGCAATCAGCCCCTGCCCAAAATTAAGTTGTAGGTAGATGGGACTTTGAGCACCCAGAACTCTACTTGCTTTGTGACTGAACCCGCTTTGACCGGCAATATGATCTTCCCTACCAGCCATTCTGGCTGAGAATTGAAGCCAACCAAAGGGGACGTCGCAGGGGCCAAGTCCTTGTCCTCCAATTTCATTTGTTTGAACGCGTCGTAATACATAATTTCGAACGAACTCCCCTGGTCGATCAAGATCCTCTTGATGTCAAAGTCTTTGACGCGAAGAGTTACCACTAGGGCATCATTGTGGGGCATCTGGATCCGCTCTAAGTCCCTGCTCGAAAAGGTAAGGATGTCCTTCTCCTCGGTGTTCCTTTTCTTCACAGCGGACTGAACGGAGAGCACTTCCCTCGTGTGCTCGGCTTTCTTAATCATCTCTCTGAGCTCGCAGACCCTTGCTGGTTCAATGATGCCATGGATGACGTTGATTACACCTTGGGGTGCTACCTCTAGGGCGGCTAGGCCGTTTGGCTCGGTTTGCCCCAATGGCGTGGCTTTCATACCCCCATCTATGTATTGGTCAAGATGTCCCGCGGCTACTAGCTCTTCCAAATGTTATTTGAGCGGCAAGCAATCCTTCGTTCGGTGTCCCCATTCCTCATGGAAGGTGCAGCGATATCTTGAATTGAAGCCTCTCTGTGCATTTCCCAACTTGGCTGGCCAGTGGACAAAAGGCTCGCCTCGGATCTCACTCAAGATGCGGTAGATAGGGATTTTAAAGATCGTGGTGATTCCAGTCTGCGCCTTCAATTTTCTTTTGGCATCCTCCTCTGCATTACGCGGAGCGTCAGCTCGATCGTTTCTGCGACCTTTGTTTCTATCATCGCGGTTTGGGCCACGACGTTGATCTTTTGACCGGTCGTTTGGGCGGTTATCCTCCTGCCCGACTGAGTGAACCTTCCCCGCCATCCTTCTGTCTGCCGCGACCGGATTAACCTTCTCGGTCGTGGAGGCGGCATCATCCTCCACACGAATGTGCTCATTGATCCGCTGCATCAAGGACCCCATGGTTGTGGGTTGGTGCATTGTGAGTGAATCTCGCAGCCTATGTCCGACTGGGAGACCTTGCTTGTATTGAGTGATCCCCAGATTGGTAAGGCAGTCGAGGATTTCGTTGTAAGTTTCCTAGTACCTTGCATTGTATGCCTTTAATGAACCTCCAGATTCCATCTTGACGCCCAGGAGATGGTCGACCTCCTTCGGTGTTCGAGTGTTGGTTTTGAATCTAGTGATGAAGGCTTCCGCTAGTTGCTGCCACCCCTCGATACTCCCCTCTGGAAGCCTTTCGAACCATTTCAGGCCCAGTTCTCCCAAGCTTGTTGGGAATATGAGGTACATCAAGGCGTCATTGCGCCAGTGGCCAGCCATTACTTGCCGGTAATGACTCACGTGCATGTACAGATCCGTCTTGCCGTCGTACAAGGTGAACTTAAGCTAGTGGAATCCGGCAGGGAGCGGTGTACTCTCGATTTCTGGAGACAGCGGCGTGGCTGTAAGTCTCGCCAGCTCTTTGTCCACTAGTGCAGGAGCCATCACCCTGGGTGTTGGCATTGCCACTTCTTTGCTACAACGAACTTGGGTGCCCAGCCTCTGCAACGTTGGCACTCTCTGAGCCTCTCGACAGTGCGCCCGTTCCTCCAACACATCTCTCAGGTCTCTGGAACGGGTGGAGAAAGAGTATCGCGACGTCGACGAGGGGCGCGAGGGGTGGTAGGTGCTGTCGCGAGTGAGGGACCTGCCCTCCCTTGGGTTGGAATCCCCAACCCCATAGTTTCTGGTGATAGAGAGAGAGTGCGTCCTTTCCTGGCGGCGACTGTTAGAACGAGGAGACGGGGTGCGCTCACTAAGGTTGCCCTCTCCAACAACACCCTTCCTCTCAATCTGGCGTTTCAGCATCTCCATCTCAATCGCCATCTTGCGGATGAGGGCGTCCTGGTCTTTGAGTTTGTGCTCCAAGCGCTGCGCGCGGGACTCCCCCCGCCGCCGACGGCCCTCTGGACTCTTTAAGCGATCAGTGCTCCTCCCGCGTTTGTCTCGCGCACCTCGCGAAGAAGTTTCTAGGCCCGCCATGGCTGGGACATTCGGGGGGCCTTCTCTCCGTCAGACAGACTCTGGTGTGATACCATCGATGACGGACAGTGGAGTTTTGTCGTTGTTGGCCATGGAAATGGTCGAGGATGCTTGAAGAGCAAGGTTTGAGTATCAAAGACTTCCCACAGACGGCGCCAATTGTACGGGGGCGAAATATTCTTTGCTTTCCGTACTCCTTGGACTCAAGCTTCACGTGACGGCGTCTAACCTGGCAACAAAGAAACGGTGAGCTGCTTGGCGGTGGGTCACCGAATAGACCCTCCGACGATCAAGTCAGAACACTTGAGGAAGAAGAATACTGTTAGAAAGAGAGAATCGCTCAAAGTTGCATACCTCTAACGTTCATCTTCCCTTCATTTTTCTAGGCTGGCCATGCAGCTTCAGGATTATGCGCGCACTACCTCTGCTGACCTTCCCTAGACAGGTGGTAGTGCTTGCCTCTCACCACCTTACACGTGTAAAGGCCAAATCCCCCAACCAGTACATGCAGAACTGCCAAACGGTATTGATGCGTGCCTGGAGCAGATTTCCTCTCCCTCACGCCATTGGTCCAGGTGGCATACTTCACCGGAGTACCACGACCGACCTACCCCTCGTGGAGAATCGCCAACACAAGCAACACAACCGAGCTGTGTCTCGCCGACCTATCCCTTGAAAAGAAGCAAAAGTATGATGCTCATGGCCGAGCTGTATGGGACCGGTCCATCCTGGCTGACCGGCCGCGAGGCATGCCGGCCTTCCCCCACTCTACCTTCATTCTAGGTTATATGAAGTCGGGCCATCTCGGCTAACCAGTCAGAGGCATGCTGGCCCTCGCCCCGTCCTCAGTCTAGTCCGGGCTGTCCTTAGCTCGGTTGTGTCATGCCACTGCGTGCCCAGCCGAATGTTCAGCCATGGCACGGCCCGACGAGGCCCTGGACCACGCCTGGTCG